CAGTTCTAAATGTCACATTTCAGGAAAGATGTGGACAAATTGAAGAAAGCCCAGAGGTGAGCAACAAAAATGATTAAATGACTAGAAAACATGATCTTTGAGGAAAGATTGAAAATATTGAGTTTGTTTAGTCTGTAGAAGCGAAGACTAAGGGAGGGGATATGATAACAGCTTTCAAGTACTTGAAAGGTTGTTACAAGGAGGGTGAAAAATTGGTCTCATTAACTTCTGGTAATAGGACAAGAAGCTATGGGCTTAAATTGTAGCAAAGGTGGTTTAAGTTGGACATTAGGAAAAGCTTCCTAACGGCCAGGGTAGTTAAGCACTGGAACAAATTTCCTAGGAAGCTTATGGAATCTCCATCATTGGAGGTTTTTAAGAACAGGTTATAGAAACACCTGTCCGGAATGGTCTAGTTATTATGTATTATCTGTCTCGAGTACAGATGATTGGACTAGATGACCAGTTGAGGTCCCTTCCCATCCTACACTTCTATGATGCTGCTTAACCATTACTTGAGTATATTCTGGGAAGGCATCTGTAACATTTTGGATTGAAATCCAGACCAGCTGGAGATTCTGTCACCTCCTGCCCTGTAACCTTGGGTGCCTTAAAATGCTCTACAGCTGTGGCTCACAGCCCAGCCCCCAAAAGCATGCAGACAAGCATGCAGTTCCCTGAGCCCCTGTGTGCTGTGCAGCCCTAGTTCAGTGCTTTGACCCCAGCAACCCTACTGTGCTCTCCACCAGCCTTGGTTACTACTTACCCCAAACACCCCGGGTCCCAAATTTCCCCAAGACCCTCTTCCCTGAAACGCTCTCTCCTGAAACGCTCAGAGAATTAATAAGGTTCGTTGCGCCTTAAAGAGACAAAAGCACAACTTATCACTTTAACTGGAGTTAACGATCACTTCAATTCAAACACAGCATGAGGTTGGTTTACACTAAAACTAAAACAGATTTATTAACAAAAAGAGAGGTTTTAAGTTTGTTCAAATACAAGGTATAAAACAAAATGGTCACAAGCAAATAAAAGTAAAAATATTTTCTAATGGCTAAGACCTAATTTAATAATCTACAGTCTTTGTTCAAGGTAGATTCCTTAACAATTTTTAAATTTTTGCCATTTTCTCTCAGTCAGGACCTTTCACAGAAGTACATGGTGCTGGTTTCACTTGACTTCCTAGGTGAAAGATCTTTGCCTAAGCTGGTTTCTCACCTATATTCCGTTCCCAGAGACTTCAATCCCCTTGGCTGAAGGACCCATCTTTCTCCGCTTCCAAGAGCTCTGGCCCCTTGTGTCTGTCCAGTGATGGATGTCAAGATGGTTTCTTCTCTCTCCTTATATCTTCCCAAACTCAGTGTTTTGTCCCCAGACTCAGGATACCTTTTGCTGTTCTTCCCTTCCTGTGGACTTCTCATCCCCTTGCTGATTCGTATGTAAATAGGGAGTCCATTGTTTTTTGGTCACATCTTGCTTAATTTCATTGCAGAGAGGTAGATAGCTGCTTTCCCTCTTGTCTGGGGGAAAAAACCTGTTTTTGGTCACAGACTTTAAAGAATAATATAAGTGAGTATTCATAATTCCTTATATAGTAAAAAGAAAAGGAGTACTAGTGGCACCTTAGAGACTAACCAATTTATTTGAGCATAAGCTTTCGTGAGCTACAGCTCACTTCATCGGATGCATACTGTGGAAACTGCAGAAGACATTATATACACACAAAGCATGAAAAAATACCTCCCCCCACCCCACTCTCCTGTGATCACTTTAGATAAGCTATTGCCAGCAGGAGAGTGTGGTGGGGGGAGGTATTTTTTCATGCTTTGTGTGTATAAAAGATCTTCTACACTTTCTACAGTATGCATCCGATGAAGTGAGCTGTAGCTCACGAAAGCTTATGCTCAAATAAATTGGTTAGTTTCTAAGGTGCCACAAGTACTCCTTTTCTTTTTGCGAATACAGACTAACACGGCTGTTACTCTGAAACCTGTCCTTATATAGTGTTAATACATACATTTTGCAATGATATTAATCACCAGTGTATCATTAGCTTTCATAAAAGATCTTACCTGGCATACTTTTATAGTACAGTAATATTGTATACAGTCAGTTGATTCAATTATTTATCATTTGAGGTTCAGACCCCTGTCTTTAAAGTTCAGTAAACTCACAACTTATGGGAAAAGACACCATGTGGTCTGGTGAAGACTTCATACTGGTTCTTCCCACCCCGTCGGTGACAGTTGAGTCGTTACCTCCTCCTCATGTCAGTTTGATGGCTTTGTTTACCATTTTATATAAATACACCTTCATTGTCTCTGCCTGATGACCAGGATGGTCAGCCAAGCAAATACACACTCCACTGTTTAGGGCAGACTGGCCTTATGCATGACTTGCCTGACACATTTTAAGAACATAATTCTAGCACATATCCATAACTCTTTGTACATGCCCTGTACATACACCACACAAGAATATCAATGATCTATTAGTTTTCCAATTATATTACTTGCCATCTTTTGGGTCTATATCATGACAACAGTGTGTTAGGTGTAGTGAGTCTGGCAGGCCTGACAAAAATTGCTGACACAGAGTAAGTGAACTACAGATGGACTTCTGTGTCGCAGTATCCCATAGTGCCTCAGCAGCAGCTGCTTGTGCCAAGACCTCTGGGTATTTTGATTTTGTTCTCCCTTTCCCCTTCTTCCTAGATTTATGGGAAGAAGAGGCTGTTCTGCAGCTCACAATGTTCAACTATCTAGACAATGTCCAGTAAGAGAAAGTGCTGGGAATTTTAAATCAGCCCACATCTTCTGGGTGAAGAAGCCAGCTACACGCTCTGGGGCAGAGTCCTTAGAGATCAGGCACACCAAATGGCACCCTCATGATGGAGGGAATGTGCACTCTGGGATGGATGTCTGACCGCTTACTAGTTAACATTAGCATGGGTGGAATGGTCTGTCAATGCAATAAAATACTGGTGTGCATCACTGCTGACAGGAACTGAACCATGTCCCAGATCAGGCAGCTAAATGCACAGTTAATATTCACCAGTTAGTAACTGATTATTAAGCATATGCTGTTGGGATGCAAATCATGTGTTTAACCAGCCATGCCCCAACTCCTTAGCACCACTGTAAAAAGCTGGTGTGTGGATGGGGCCTCTGAATGTACGTGAGGATATTGCTCATGTTTTGGTACATGTCTAAGGTCTCATCTACCGAGTGGAAGCATGCTGCAGCTGGCTTCTCAGTCACAGTTCTACTTGAAGTGCAGTCTGGCCCTAAGGCTGTTTCTCATTAGTGGTGAGCATTGAAACTGAGCACTTCTGAATGCAGAATTCTCCTTTCTTCCCCTGGACTCTGTGGGGGCAGGAGGGGATGTGGGTGAGACAGGATTTGCTGGGAGAGTGGAGGAGTTTGTTATTGTAATGGTAGCTTTCCTACCTCATCATCAATCACTGGGAAGGCAGGGGGGAGGGGATTGAGCAGCTGAGAGGGGCAAACAGTCACTTCTCAACTCCTACTCCTCTTCTTCTGACCTAATTATTAAACTCTCTGGGCTCCAGAAAGGGGCACATATGGGCTTAATCATTAGGCAACAAAGTTAGCTTAGTGCTGAGAGGAAAGTTTTACTAGTAAATAAATGGCTGGCCTGAAAGATGAGAGTATTTGCCTCCTGCTGTGGTTGCTGCTTTCTGGAAGCTGTGAGAACAGGGAGAGGAAACATTTAGGCTGAAAGTAGAGCATAATTGTGGACTGGTAATTCAGAGGTACTTATTGAATATGGCCCCAGTCCTGCAAAGGCTTACACAGATGCCCAAATTTATGCTCATGAGAAATCAGTGAGCCTGCTCACATGAAGATCTTGTGGAACCCCCTGTCCTAATACAACCGTTTTCTTGATGCTGATGGTGAGAGCAAATGCCCGACAGGCACTTGAAAGGCGGTCCATGAGTTCTTGTAGTAGATCTTCATTATGGGCTATGAAGGAAGTATCATCAGCAAATAGAAGTTCCCTGATTAGCCCCTTTTTACTTTGGTCTTTGACTTAAGTCGGGAAAGGTTGAAGAGTTTTCCATCTGATCTTGTGTGGAGATACACTCCATCTTTCATGTCCTTAAACACACAGTTCAAGAGTTCTGAGAAGAAGACTCCAAAGGGTGTAGGGGCAAGAACACATCCTTGCTTCACTCCGCTTTTCATCTCAAACCTGTCCGAAGTGGACTCGTCAAACTGGACAGTTGCTCTCATGTTTTGTGGAATGAACGTATAAGACTTAACAGGGTTGGTGGGCATCTTATCTTTTCTAGGGTTGCAAATAGACGTGCTCTGCTGACTGTGTTGAATGCTTTGGTTAGGTCCACTATGGTGATGTACAATGGTCGGTTTTGCTCTCTGCACTTTTCTTGGAGTTCACACAGAGAAAATATCATGTCTATAGTTAATCTTCCAGCCCTGAATCTGCACTGTGATTCGGGGTAGACACAATTCGCCAGCTGTTGTAGGTGCACTAAGATGACTTTTGCGAAAGCTTTTCCTGCTACACTTAGTAGCGAGATACCCTGTATTTGTTGCTGTCGCCCTTTTCACCTTTATTTTTATACAAAGTGATGATGTTTGCATCACGCATCTCTTGTGGTACCTCACCCTCTTTCCAGCATTTAAGTAGCAGCTGATGAAGATATGGTAATAGACTGTCTTTCCTGCAGTCACCGATTTCCACTGGGATGCCATCTTTTCCAGAAGTCTTGCCACTTGATAGCAAATCAATGGCCTTGCTTAACTCTTCTACAGTGGGCTCCACGTCTAGCTCTGGCATGACTGTAGAGCTGGTATTTGGTCCAGTGATTCACTGGTGATGTTTCTTTCTTATGCATATAGCTCTGAATAGCGTTCAACCCAATGAGACAATTGCTTGCTTTTATCTGTAATAATTTCACCACTGTGTGATTTGAGAGGGGCAACCTTGTTGACAGTGGGACCGAGAGCTTTCTGCAGGCCATCGTACATGACTTTGAGGTTTCCTGTGTCTGAGGCTGTTTGTATCTCTTCTCAGAGGTTGATCCAGTAATGATTTGCACAGTGTCTGCTTGCTCGCTGTACCTTGGTTTTTGCATGTTGAAGTCTCACTTTGGTGCTCTTTGTTGGCTTTTTGTTGTGTTCCGGAAAGGCTGTGTTCTTAATATTGATGAGAGGTAATAGTTCCACTTCATTTTCTTCAAACCAGTCCTTTTTTGATGGTCTCTTTCCCCAAAATGTAGCTAGGCTGTTTCATGGATTGTTGTTCTTAAATCTTCCCAAAATTCCTCTGCCTTCTCTGGTAATGACTTCCCATGCATGCTAAGTTCAAAAGCCTTCACAAACTCCTGGCATTTCCTCTGGTTTTCAGTGTTAATAGCATTGATTTTGGGCTTGCTCCTAGGTTTTGTTCTAGGTTTTGTAGTTTCTTGGCGTGATGCTGGTAGACCAGGCACTAGTTGTTATGTCAGCTGAGCACTGACAAATTCATAGCTAGGAACCAGACCAGCTCACCTATATGTTACTATTGTTTGAGTTAGGTGTTAGACTTGTAAAGGTGTGTTTAGTGTTTAGACTCTATAAAGTGCTTGTAAGTTGCTGTATGCATTAATCTTACCTGTAATGTCTGTATCCCCTGCTAGAAGGTAATAATGAAAGTTTTGTTTATAATTGTAAAAATGCCTGCTCTGAACTTGTGAACTCAGACTGCAGGACCATCAAGCAGGACTATCAAAAGTAAATGGGCCATTGTAGGACAAAAACTTTGTTGATTGCCCCACTAATTACACACAGGAGTTTGAACTCTGGGGGAAGGGCATATTAAGATGCTCACAAGAAGAAATAGTTCTCTCTTTTCTGTTTGGACTTTCACAAGGGCTGGAGCTAAGAAACAAAAGCAGAGATTGCAAGGGCCACCATGGGTAAGCCCTAAAAGACATTCAGTGGAAAGATTACTGCTTCTCTGTCACCTTTTGGAATCATAGTAGACTGTAACTCATTTGTGCATATATGTTGCCTCTGTTAGCCTGTAAATAACTCTTTCATTTCTTTTTCCTATTTAATAAATTCTTAATTAGTGGACGATAGGATTGGCTACCAGCATGGTCTTTGGTGCGAGATCTAAGGTACAAATTGATCTGGGGTAAGTGACTGGTCTCTTGGGACTGGGAGCAACCTGAATATTTTGTGATCTTGGGTGTAAGTGGCTGTTTATCTCTGTGTCCAGCCTGTGTGGCAAGATAGACTGGAATGCCCAAGGGGACTTTCAGTGACTCCATGGTAAGACTGGCATACTGCTTCAGGAGATCACATTTGTTAGTGGGTTGGTGAAATCTAATTATAGAACATACCACCAATTTGGGGTGCCTGCCTGGGTTTTTGATAGTCTGCTCTGTCGTGAACCACTCCAGACAGTATGACTCATGCACAAATCCTTTCTGGATTGGGGCTGTGAGGAATATTTTGGACTTTTACAGTATGGTATATTTCATCCTGGAATCTCAGAGCCCTTTGCAAAGCCTTGAGTTCCCAGAGCAATTCTTCAGGTCTGGGAAACTTACTAAGGGCAAGTCTGCAGTACAAAATTAAGTCGACCTAAGTTAGTGGCTCTCAACCTTTCCATTCTACTGCACCCCTTTCAGAAGTCTGATTTGTCTTGCATACCCCCAAGTTTCACTTCACTTAAAAACTACTTGTTTAAAAAAATCAGACATAAAATACAAAAATGTCACAGCACACTATTACTGCAAAATTGCTTACTTTCTCATTTTTACCATATAATTATAAAATAAATCAATTGGAATATAAATATTGTACTTACATTTCAGTGTATAGTATATAGAGCAGTATAAACAAGTCTTGGTCTGTGTGAAATTTGGTTTGTACTGACTTAGCTAGTGCTTTTTATGTAGCTTGTTGTAAAACTAGCCAAATTTCCAGATGAGTTGATGTACCTCCTGGAAGACCTCTGTATACCCCCAAGGGTACGTGTACCCCTGATTGAGAACCACTGACCTAAGTTACATCAACTCACAGCCACCACAGTAATTAAACTGCTTTTGAACATCCACACTATGCTTCTTGTGTCGGCGGTGTGCGTCCTCACCAGCAGTGCTTGCACGGATTTAACCGTCAGTGTGGGGCATTGTGGGATGGTTTCTGAAAGGCAGCAACAGGAGATGTAAGTAACGCAGTATCTACACTAACACTGCATCACCCTAACTACATTGACCCAAGTGCTACGCCTCTCGTGGAGGTGGAGTTATTAAGGCTAGATGAGATACATCGGTAGGAGCTGCATTTTAGTGTAGACACTTACAGAGATAGGTTGATGTAAGATGCCTTACATTAACCTAACTCTGTAGTGTAGACCAGGGCTCAGAGTGTCAACCTCCCTGGTCCCTGCGCTTTGGGGGACCCCGTGCTTCAGGACATGGGGTCTAGGGTGGTCTGGGGAGTTAGCGGGGGGCCTGGGCAGGCAGCATTGAGTGACCTGGCCCTAGCCCACCCTGCTCCTCCCCGCCGGCTCCCAGCATTGCTCAGGGGAGTGGGAGGAAGATGGAAAGAGGCGGGGTTGGGGCGGGGGCATGAGGAAAGGGGTTGAGTGGGGGTGGGGCCTGGGATGGAGTGCACCCCCCTAGAGATCGCCCTGGTCACAGCTAAATACAAGGCAGAACAGATTTCTTCCCCAACCCCCACTTCCTTTCCTCCCTGGGACTGGAGGGGTGTTAATGGGTCGCTTCTCCTTGAATGGTCCCTTGAAATATGTGTTAACTACTTATTCTAAATAATCTGTTCCACCTTGTATTTATCTGTGACACTCTGAGTAAGTTTCCCAGACCTGAAGAATTGCTGTGTGTAAGCTGGAAAGCTTGTCTCTTTAACCAAATTAAATTGATCCAATAAAATATATGACCTCAGCCACCTTGTTGCCCTTTGAGGTAGGTAATTATAGTCATCCTCATTTTACAGATGGATAAACTGAAACACAGAAATACCAGATGATTTTCCCTAAAGGTTAAACACCAATTACAGATAGAACTTCACACCTCTAAAAGAAAAGGCTACTCTGTCCAAACTATAAGTATAGAACAGTGGGCACTGTGTGTAGTTGTCATAAATTTTTTTCAAAGTAACCTCTATCTGTTTTTTTCACTCTCCATGCTCACTGAAATTTTCTCTCTGTTTCTTTTTTCACAGTCTTTTAGGGCTGGTTGTGAAGAATCGAGTTAGCTGGCCGGATGATGATGACCACCTTGACTTCATGGTCAGTGTAGACCAGGATGAACCATACTAGCTATCTTGATTTTTCAGAATCCTGTTTAAACACAATAATACTCTAAAACATAACCTCAGAATACAAGTCAGCCTTTCAAAACCTAGCATGTTTGCAAGTTTGGAAAAATGGGTTTGCCCGTGCTTGATTTAATTATTTCCTTGCAGTATTAGCAAGCAAAACATTAGGATACAGCTTGAGAACCAGAAAGTAAATCTGGGCATTTTAACTTGATTGTGTCTTAAAATGTTAAAATAGCTTTAAAATGACATTTTGTAGCATACCATATTCCTCTGGTTGGTGAAGTAGCTTTACAGTCTTGTGTGTGTGTGTGTGTTGGATCTAATTACATGAGTTAAAAGTGTCTTCACTGAATCACAATTCATCTTATGCCCAGCCAGAGGTGAAAGTAAGCCGGTACGCCCTGGTACAGCGTACTGGCAAGCAGCAGAGATGAGTTATATGGGCTCGTGGTTCCAGCAATATTGAGGGCCTGGGGGCCTGGCTCCACCAATGTTCGGGGCCGGGTCTCCCACCGGTTCCACCTGCTGCCCTCCCACGCCTCCCCCGAGTGTCCCCTGCCCCCCCTGCTGCCCCTGCGCACCTCCCTGGCTCCCAGAGCACAGTGTCCCTGTCTCTCCCCTGCAGCTCCATGCTGCCTCCCTGCATCAACTGCCGCTGCCGGATCCTAGTGCCCCCCACCTCCTAGGGGCAGGGCACGCTGCCCTTCCCCTACCCTTCCCCCTCAGACCCTTTCATTTTCCAGCGGGACCCTCCACCAGTACAGCCGCCCCCCGTGCCTGCAGTCACCGCTCCTGCCCCACACTGGGCAAGGAGCAGCCCCATTCCCCCACCCCCAGTGGGGCTACAGTGAAGGGCAGCAGCAGAGGATGAGGTGCACATGTGATGGCAGCCCTCACCCCCAGCAGCACCCACCACAAGGGAGGCGAGGGAGATTCCTGGACCTGAGAGGGGCCCTAGGAGCATGTGTAGTGACAGTGGTGGGGGTGAGTGTGCTGCTGGGCGGGGGGAGAGAGGGGGCCCCCTCCCCCAGAGCTCACTGCTGCCAGCGGAGAGAGGGCTGGAGGGAGTCCTCCTCTCTGGCTCCAGTCCCCAGGCAGCCTGCCTGCACCACAAACACACTCCCAGCCTGGCCCCACCCCAGGACCCGTACCCCCAGCCAAAGCCCTCATTCCCCCACACTCCAACCCTCTGCCCTAGCCCTGAGCTTCTCCAACACCCCAAACCCCTCATCTACAGCCCCAGCCAAAGCCCTCGTCCCCCCCCGCACCCTAACCCTCTGCCCCAGCCCTGAGCCCCCTCCCACACCCCAAACCCCTCATCCCCAGCCACACCCCAAACCCATCCCCAGCCTCACCCCACAACTCTCACCCCTGCACCCACTCCCATCCTCAAACTCCCTCCCAGAACCTGAACCCCCTCCCATCCCCAAACTCCCTTCCAGAGCCTTCACCCTGCACCCCTCCTGCACCCCATCCCCTGCACCAGCCCAGGGCCTGCACCCCAGACCTCCTCCCCACACAAACTTCCTGCCCAGAGCCTTGGGCAGGTGGGGGGTGGAGTTTGGGGGGGGGCCCGAGTTTGGGCAGAGGCAGGTCTGGGCACCACCAAAATTTCTACAAACCTGCCACCCCTGCTGGTAAGAGCCGGTGCGTTGTACCGGGGCGGACTGGCTTCACCAGGTGGCAATTTAAAGGGCCTGGGGCTCCCAGTGGCACCAGGCTCTTTAAATGGCCCCCTTTAAAGCCACCTCTGCAGCTGGGAGCTTAAGGGGTGATTTAAAGGCCCCGGGGCTCCCAGGTGCTGGGCCTTTAAATCCTGATTTAAAGAGCCCAGGGATTTAAAGGCTCCTCCTCTTCTGGTAGAGGCCATGCCTCTTCTGGGTGAGGCCCTGCCCCCTCCTCAGGACTCCAGAATATGGGCAAGTCCTTTAAGTTACTTTCACCCCCGTGCCCAGCCCATTATGTATCTAAAATATAAGTGGGAAATTTACATTTAAAAACTTGGATTTAGTATAACACCAGATTCTGTGAAACTTGACCTGTTAAATGTACATGGCTGACTTATATTTGATGTTATATCATATCAATCCTTACTTTATATAGCATCTTTCTTCTAACAATCCTTTACAAATTTATTATTAACAATAAGAAGAATTAAATAATAGAAATTAGAAATCTGTTTAGAAAATAGACAATTAGGTGTCCCAATACATTATCTGAGGAAGTGTACATATGTTGCCCTCTTGTGGGAACTTTATTTTTTGTCTTTCTTGTTTTGCTTAATCTAAATAAGACATCTGCCTGAATTTCTGTTGTTGCTCAGTGTATGGAGGATATAACCAAAACAATGGTTGAAATCCTGGCTCCACTAAAGTCAAGAGCAAAACTCCCTTTGACTCCAGCAGAGCTAGGATTTCACCCAATATGTTGTACGCTACTACAGTGATTGTATGAATAACAAGGAATATAGTTGACTAAATGACCAAATGATACTGTTTCATAGAAGTTGAAATGTTTTGCAGAGATGTATCAAATCTGGATACATTTTTGACAGGAAAGTTTCTGAGTTCCAGAGCTCTCAGGTCACCCAAATGGAAAATCTGATCTTATGGATCTGAAAATGGACCTGTCAGCAGAATGCCATTTTGTAAAAAAAAGGTGGAAAGGTTTTGTTTTCATTCAGTGAGTGAAAACAAATTTTGAAACCTCAAAAGTTGTTGTGAAATGGAATTGTGATCCTGCAGCCCGCTCTGCTACCATGGTTGACATGGCCATATGTAACTTGACTGCATTGGATGCTAAGCTGACTTCATTCTTCTGGGCGATTCTCTTTACTTTCTCGCTTTTCTGCCCACCATTTTCGCTGTACCCCCTAAAGAGGTTTAACATAGTTCTATCCAACTTCCTTATGCCATACATACTCTTCCTTATAGCTTAGCAAGAACAATATAGCAATTATCACACTGCTCATACTAAATCCAGTTGACAATTTCTCCTCTCCCTCCACCTTCTAGAAGCTTGAAAATTGGATCTTCAAAGCCAGGAGTGGACTAGCAATTTTATATTCATTCTTAATTTTCTGTAAACAATTTTAGTTGACCTGTTTTAGTTAAAATGTAGTTGGCCATGTTCAAAGCTAAAAGAAAGTTGAGCGCCTTTTCTCTAGAATTAGACAGAGATGTATTTATGGAAACAGCTCAGATTGTCAGTGTTTTCCAACTACAAGAGTTGATTGATTTTGTTATAGCACTTTTTAAAAAAGTGATAAAAATGTAAAACACTAAACCAGAAATTATTTGCATACCTACATTAAGATGCCTTTGTTAGTGTTAATCAAAGTTGTAGTTTGGCTCCATCATTTTCACAATGAAAGCTATTGTACTGTTAATACATATTGTGCATTGCCTTGGGGCACATTTGCGTTGAATAATAAGAATATCTCTACAATCTTATCTATTCCAGTAATTCTCCCACCCTACTACCTGAGCTCTCATAAATGTAAAGTTACAACTCTGGAATTTTCTCTTTAATGGATCAAAATGCTGCTTGCCTTTAGATAAGGAATATTTCACGCAACACCCCAGCATTAGAACATGTAATGTTAAGAGCCTTTTATTACTGCAGAAAGTTCTGAATTCTGTAAATATTGGTGTGGTTGCAAAAGCCTGGGGTTCATTTTAACACTCAGCGCTGCTCTTTGCACATGGCAGTAGCCATATAGGCCGTTCAGAAAAACTGAACAAAGTAGATAATGGGATATCCTTTATTGGACAAGTGAGGTGAGAGGTAACAGTAGTAATTTTAGCCAAGTTAGAACCATTGTTACCACACAGAGAAGACAGAAATTTATAGAGGGGTTTGAAGTACTGCCTGGTAATACCAAGCACTGAGACTGGGATTTTCAAATCCTAGGATTTGGAGGCCTAACTCCCTCCAGATCCTTTGAATATCCCAGCCTGATGCTTTCTCTTTCCTGTGCTTAGTCAACCCTGTAACCAAAAAATAAAAAAAAAAATCATACCTTGTGTCTTATATTCTAACATTCTTTTCATGTTCTTGTTGAAAAAAAAGCGAGTCTTAGCATGTTAAAACTGATTTTCTGAAAATGCTGCATCAATAGAGATATTAGGAACCACAGAACATAGATTTTCAAAACTTCATAGTCCTTTATATTCACTATTTAATAATAAATATTATCAAAATATATTTTGTTGCACTAATAAAAAATGTGGGCAATCGCCAGTGGCAAAATTAATACCTCTCAGCATTCATGAATAGTAACCAAACAAGCTGTAGCTTATAAAGGTATTGATTTCAAATTCTGTTAAGATTGTACTTTCATTGCAATGTTAGTACTTTTTTAAAACACTGATTCAGTTGTAGATTAATTAGAGCTAAACGGGTCTTTCCCATCTTGGATCAGAGCTTCGAGATGTGGGTTTATGAACCCCAGGAGTGGGTTGAGTTAACCCTCAGTATCTTGGTTGACCATTTAAGTGCCACACCCTTTGTGATATATTTCACTAGGAAGGTGGTGAAGCACTGGAATGGGTTACCTAGGGAGGTGGTGGAATCTCCATCCTTAGAGCTTTTAAGGTCAGGCTTGACAAAGCCTTGGCTAGGACTATTTAGTTGGTGTTGGTGCTGCTTTGAGCAGGGGGTTGGACTAGACGACCCTTGAGGTCTCTTCCAACCCTGATATTCTATGATATAGGGCCCTGCTCCACAAACACTATGATCAGGTGTACACTACAAACTTGCATTGCCATAGGCGCTGCTGTAGCTCTTCTGGTGAAGATGCTCTAAGCTGAGAGGACAGAGCTCTCCTGTTGGCTTAATAACTCCACCTCCACCAGAGGTGGTTGCTACATCAGCAGGAGACACTCTCCCGCCAACATAGCGCTGTCTACACAAGGGGTTAGGTCAGTATAACTATGTCACTCGGGAGTGTGGATTTTTCACACTCCT